AGGTCGCCAGGTGCAGGGTGAGCTTTGTAGACCAGAAGGCAGAGCACTTGGACTCTGCTCCCAGCTGTGCGGCTCTGGCCCATTTGCTTGCTCGGAGGCTGGGCTCTTCCGTATCATGGCTAGACCCTGAGGACTTCAGGTGTGAAGGTGTTTCCTTATCCTCTGTAGACAGTATGCCGTCCTCCCCACACTCACGTCACCTGGGCTGGTGCCTGCTGGCCAAAGTGTGTGGCTGCTCTGGGCGCTCCTTATGCGGGCCTCCAGGTTCTGCGGGGCAGTTCCAGAGCTCTGCCCAGAACCCGCCGTGTGCCTCCTGAGAGGGCAGCTCCACTGGACCTGCATGAGAATTGCTTACTCCCAGGAATCTGCTGTGTAATGAGGAGGTCAGATCTCAAAGCCTACGCAGGACAACCATGAGGGCGACACAGGGACTTGCCCCTAGTAGAGCTTCCTGAGCTAGGGGGACTTCTGTGACTTTCTTGAATGTTGGGAGGGAATAGTCTTATTCTAGCAGGAATAGACTTTCCATAGAAATGGGGAGGGGACCTGGGGGAGGAGAAGGTAAGGCTGGTAGGGAGCAGGTGATAAGCAAGGCAGCGAGGTGTTCAGGGGCAGCCTGGTGGCTTGGCACCTGCAGTTCTCCATCAATACTTGCTGGGAGCATGCATGGGAGGGGTGAAGCCACCAAGGGGCAGCGTGTGGACAGGAAGCCGCTCCTCAGTATCAGCACAGCCTGCTGAATGCCTGGGTTCTGGCTGGGGTCTAGACTAGACTCCAGAGGTGCACCGGAGGGGTGGAACTGCAGGCTGCAGGGTCTGATTTAGTGAGTAATTGGTACAGTTCCGTGAGTTAAGGTTTTCTATGAAGGCATCTATGCTGCTAATACAGGTGAAAGATGTGTAAGATTTAGTGCTTGGGGGAAACAGAGTGTCCATCTCAGGGGGTAATGACACCGTGAAAGCCATATTATTTCCACTGTGGAGAATAATTTTAAGCTTGATCTAATAGATTAAGCTACTAGAAATGATCATTTGGAACAAAGAGGATGGTTGAGAGTAATTTAGACACACTTAGTCCATTTAGGATGAATGAGGAGCAATAATTTCATTCTGTCGGCCTGTGACGTGTGACACCTTTAGTCACTGTCACACTGTAGTAGCTGCGAGGTAGCCCTGGACTCAGGGTCACCAGGCCGAGGATCAGCTTTTGCTGCTTGGCAACTGCTTGACCTCAGGGGAGTTCCTAGAGCCTTAGGCTGCAGTCACCCCTTTGGTAGAAATGGAATGGAAATTTCTGGGCCACAGGCTCATGTGTGTGAACTGCGGAGGGAGGCACTGGCGCGGGCGAGGGGCACTTGGTGAGCTGCACTGACTTCACTGGGCCCAGGAAGGAAGTGCGTGCTTGCAGGAAGTGCCCAGATCCAGAGTTACTGTGGGACAGGGGGGCTGCACGAGGGGCACACTCCAGAAAGCCCCCCGCAGCTGCCTGCTGCCCCTGGTCGGTCCTTCCTGTTCAGGGCTCACGTCCTACCTATACATGATGTGATTTTAAAAAAACAAAAACTTGGACTATTTACATAAACATTAAATCTACTGCAGGAAGAGGCGCATTGCCATCAACCCCTGCAGATGCTCCCCTTCACTTTAGACACATTTATCCCTTCATTCTTGCCAGTTTCTGAAATGGTTGTGAAAGTGCTAAAAATTGAAGCAGTGAAGAAAACAGGTGGAAATAGGGTTCTCTTTAAAAGACTTCATATGCAGCGAAGGCAGTGTGGGCAGGCGGACACAGAAGCTTGGGTGCCGCGGGAGAGTCCTGAGCCCCCCCCCCGGCCATGCACAGCCAGGGCCTGCGTCTTGTGGCGGCTGCTCCAGGGAGCTGTGCATGCGCTGCCCTGCGGCCTGAAGCTGAGTGGGGCTGGCGCCCGTGGCTCAGTCAGGAGCAGAGTGTCTGCCGAGAAGAGGGCCCAGAGATGTGGAGGCCGCAGACCCACAGGCCTCCAGGTTCTGCTGGCACGGAAGGGCAGCAGTGCGGAATCCAGGAGCTGGGAGAGGAGTGGCAGCCCCGGGATAGAGCAGTCGAGATCTGGGGTGAAGCAACAGAGGATCCACCGCCTGTCACATGGCTTGGAGTGCTCTGCAAGGGGAAGGCAGCGCTCTTCCCGGGGCTTGGCGGCAGCTGGCAGTGCGGGCAGGGCTGCTGGCCTCAGCTGCGCTTCCTTGTGTACCTCGTTCTTTCTGCCTGCAACGCCTTTCTCACCATTATCCGTGGGTAATGCGACCGCCGTGTCTGGTGTGGCAAAGTTCACGACGGACGCACTGCCCGCTGTCGAGCAGTTCAGGCTCACTGGCCTTTTCCTGGTGTGCACCTTGTCTGTGGCAAAGGCTCTGTCCTAGTCACCTCATGACCCCTCCTGCTCCCTGTGGCCAGGCTTGGGTGCCACCATGGGGACGGGCTGAGCCTCTGACCTGACAAAGGTGGCTTCTCCTCAGTCTTGCAGGATTTCAGCCCCCACCGACACTGGTGCTCTTAGAGTTGTTAAGGATGGCACTTAAGCCACTAGGAAGTTTCTTTCGGTGAATACTTGATTTTAGGCTTCAGCTTTTGTGACAGTCACCATGTGTATGCAACGGTGTCATGTGGCAGAGGGTGACATTGCCTCTCACTGGAGAGCGTACTGGGCCTGTTTGCACTCGTGCCGACCTTGGTATGGCTTGCCTTCCCCTCACCCTCGTCTGCATAGAATTTCTGACACTGAAAAGAGGAGAGGACACTGCATATCCCCTCCGCTTCCAGTCTTTTGGCAGACTCTATCCTTCAAAGTCAAATGGTCAATATTTACTTCTAAAGTCCTGGTTCCTGTTACATTTTCCCAGTCACATGAAATTGATGCAAATAGTAAAAGAAGTGGCAAAATGTCTTGGATTATTGAACAAAACAAAACGCAAGGTATTAGCAGTGCCCGCTTGGAGTAGCTCTGCAGTTCCTGGTGCCCTTTATCAGTGCGCGTTTCCTTCCGGTCCCTAACCCTGGAACCTCCAGGACCTGCCCACAGGTGCCTTGGCCTCCGTGCTCCCTGGATCCGACGTGACCCACCTGGTGACACGGCCCTTTCCTTTCACATCAACTGGAATAATCGCAGGTTGGCATGAGGCCCTCCAAGCAGGCTGGGTCCTTTCCAAAAAGTGTGTGGTTCAGACATGTCACCGATGGGTGAGATAAGGAGTAGGAAACTGCCTGTAGCAGTCATGAGCTAGGAGAGCCATCAGAAGCAGCCCGAGTGGGAGCTTGGGGTGGATGCCTACGCAAAGCCCCCTCTGGAAGCCCTGTTTTCCCGCCTTCACTTGCCTGGCACCTGGCCCTCAGCTCCTCAGAGACCTCTACCACACCCTGGAGCGTAGCTGTGCCTCTGCTGGGTGCCTGGCCTTCAGACTCCTTGAAGGACTGTGATTTTCTACCTTAGTGTCCAGCTTAACACTTGTCACCTAGAAGATCCTATTCAACAAATACTGAGAGCTTCCCATTTGCCAGGCACTGATCTTGGCTCTGGGGTACTGCTGGGACAGGACAGATACAGTTTCTGCCCTTGTGGGTATCATGGTCTAGTGGTAGCTGAAAAAGGGGTGAAGTTTCACTGACTGGAAGAAGTAATTGATGTGCCACAATACATTCCAGGAAGCAAGGGTTCAGCAAAGTATGAATGGATGAAAGAGGGAATGGATGAACGAATGAACGAACTGAAAGACAGTGATGCTATTCATGCCCATTTTGCACACAGAATCTCCTTTAATTCCCTTGAACTCTTCCTTAGCTACTTTATATGGATAAGAAGCCTGAGGGTCATGGGCAGAGCACTGCTTGTATATTGTAGCCAAGAAGTGATGGGCTGACAGATACCTCAGGATAGTGCAGGGCAGAGCGAACGCTTCCACCCTTGCCACTTGGGGCCTGGAAGAAGCTGCTGTTCTGGTGCTTCTGCAGGTCTGAGGCGCATCCTCCAGCTGAGCAGCCCCAGGCCCCTCTGCCTGCCTCCGGGGTTGTTTTCCATCCTTTCACCCATTCTTGCAGCTCTGTCTAGGTTCTCAATTCTTTCTAAACTATTCCCAACTCTTTTATTCCTCAAAATCAGAAAGAGTTGCTATTCAAAGCAGCCCCAACTTGTTGGAATCAGGGACATGTGAGGCCTTAGCACCCGCAGGAATGTGTCCTCGCCTGGGCTCTGCCAACTTGGAGCTACCACGAAAGGCCTGGCCATGAATCTAGTGTGCCCTGTGCCACCTGATGCTCCCGAGTGCCCCTGCCCAGGTGGCAGCCAGCGTCCCTCGGCAGGCTTGTATGGAATGTCTAGGCTGACCCCAAGCAAAGGGAATCTTGGGAGTGCCTGATCATGTGGGTGATCGTCATGCAGAGTTGAGCTCCCAGCGTGTGTGGAAAGACCGAGGACCCAAAAGAAGCCTGGCCTTGTCTCCGCCAGGCAGCTAGATGCCCTTTCCAGGAGCTCTTGGCTTGTGCCTGTTTCTGTTGTAGTGGGTAACCACCGGATGCTTAGTTTTGTTTTTGTTTTATTATACTGGAGATCAAACCCAGGGATGCTCTACCACTGAGTCATCTCTAACCCTTTTCTTTTAAATTTTGAGACTGAGGCTCACAGTGTTGTCTAGATTATTCTGGAACTTTCGTTCTTCCTGCCTCAGCCTCCAGCAAACCCTCACCCTCACCCCTACACTTCCTGGAGACCTTAGGAGGAAGCTTGCCGTCAGTTTGAGTTTGGAGTTGGGTTTCATTTTGCCACAGTGAAGGCCCCTGATTACCTTCCTTTGGGTCATGGACGCTTGCTGGCCTCGTCCATGTGGCAGGCACAAGCTCAGTGGCCCGGGGGGGGCTTGTCAGAGATTGTGTGCAACACAGATGAGCTCCAAACGTGGACTAGCTGCCCTCTCAGCTGGGCTGTGATGCTATGATTCCAAAACCCTTGTGACCCTGCCCTTGCTTTCCCCCAGGTCACTGAGGAGGAGCCCAGCTCCAACCACACACTCATGATCCAGGAGACCCTCCAGCAAGCCTCCGTGGAGCTGGCGGAGCAGCACCACCTGGTGGTGTCCTCTGACGACGTGGAGGGCATCGAGACAGTGACTGTGTACACGCAGGGTGGGGAGGCCTCAGAGTTCATCGTCTACGTGCAGGAGGCCGTGCAGCCCGTGGAGGAGCAGGCGGGGGAGCAGCCAGCCCAGGAGCTCTAGAAGACCGCAGCCTGACCGATGCATAGGACAGACTGCTGGCCACCTGGGGCGGGAGACCACCCAGCCCCCTGCCTGGACAGTGGCACCATCCTCTGCACTCCTAGCCCAGTGGCCCAGGTGGGACTCTCCCTACCACTGCTTGAGTGGCCAGGACGACTACGTCACCAGCAACACAGGACCTGGGATCCAGCACCGACTCTCAGGCTCACTGCCCTTGTGCTGTGGCATCTGCTTCGGAAGGACCTTTGCACCAGCCCATCTGCCCTGTGTCTCCCTTAATTCCAGACTGTGAGGCTGTCCCCTTGCCATCTTCCCAGAGTTGCAGCCCCAGCCCTGGCCCCACCCACTGCCCAGCCTTGTCTGGGCCCACTGCAGGCTGGTAAAAAGGAGATGGCCGTCACACGCAAGTGACCTTATGGCTCGTGAGAGGCGCTGGGGGGTGAGACTGCCCTGGCTCGCTCCCGGAGTCCCACTCTCCTCAAGGCCAGGGAGCTTGGGATCAGGTGAGGCAGACACCTGTCCTCTGTCACAAGGCCCCAGCTTGCCATTCTAGGATTCTTTGGCTTCTTAATGCACTTTTACCTTTTGCCTGCCATTCCCAGAGGTGATGGGGGTGGAATAAAAGAGTCCCTTGCCTTTGTGCCTTGCTCCTTGTTGGAGGGACAGTGTCATTCTCTTCCTGCATGAGACCCAGGGCCCTGTGTTACTGCCAGCCATGTCTGTTCCCCACTAAAGCCCTTGAGCGGGCTTCCACTTCTGGGTTCCAAGCATGCCATTCACTCCCAACTGAGAAGTGGCAGTGTCTCCATTTTTACCTTGTTTGGGAAGAGTGGGAGACAAGCCTTGGATAGTACTATGTCATTGCTGTCCCCATCAGGTGCACCTCTTGCCCTGCCTGCCCTGGGTCTGTTATGTCTCTGCTCCCAGACGGCTGAGGTCACGCTGTGTCCACTGAGGACCCTTCTCCCAGTGGGATTGTGGGAAGGTGCCAGGCATGGACATGCAGTCACAGATTGGCCACCCTGACAGTGAGGCGAGGGTCAGACCTGTAGGGCTCGGGATGGGGGTGGGGCGGGAGGGGACAGCACAAGAGGAAGTGGAGCCTGAATCAAGGAAGCCCCTCTGGCCTTCCGAGGAAGGCAGACAGAGGCAGGGAAGCGTCCTGCAGCCCGGGACCAGACTGTGCACCTACACTTTGGGGCTGGAAGGAGCATGAGGACCATCCCCGTGAGCAGCATGGAGCCACCCACCGTCCTGGGCAGCAGCCAAGGGGAAGGTAGTGAAGAGCGTTCTGATTGGTCTGGGTTGCTGCAAAGGGAAGGCTGGGAGGGTCAGCCGGAAGCCAGATTCTACCAGAGCTTGGGTATGAGGTGACATGTGTTGATTTTGTCCCCAAAACTCTGGAGTGATGCGGTCAGAGCAATGTTCCAGAGAAACCCTGCCCAAGCAGCAATGTGGCCCCAGTGGAGGTGTGTGAGTGTCCAGGGTGGCCTTGGACAGCTGCTAGATCTGAGCTTCAGTTTACTCATCTCTAAAATAGACCGGGGGCAGTCGCCAGCTCCTCAGACTCCTGAACTGCCTGGGAACAGCCTGCGAAGCCCTTAGCAGAGCACGTGGCCCACATTCCTTAGAGGTCAGTTGCTCATGTTCCTAGGAATGGGGCTACAACCATGGGCATCCCTCCAGCTCTGCTCTCACACATCAGCGAGTGGGGGAGAGAATGTGTGTGGAGGAAGCGAGCCAGAGAGCCTGCCCTTCTGCACCACAGTGCGAGATACCGCAGGGCACAGCCAACCAGGGATGCTGGCGACTCCACAGCCTCCTGTTGCCGTATTTCCCCTTTGCTTGGTGGTGGATCATACAAAAATGGAGTCTGTGTATGAGGGAAGGAGTGCCCTGACCCCTGACCTTCCCACCTTATATATAAATGTACTGGGGACTTGGCATGGGGTGGGTCTCATAAGAGGTTCTCATGTCCATTGTCAGAAATCAGTTTTCCTGCCTCCTGTGTCTTCATAAGATTGGACCACAGGGGCTTCTGTAGTGCTTACCCTGTGTTAGGGCTGTTGCTGTTCTCACTACCACAGCCACCCAGTGAGTTAGGTGCTATCAGTATAATTTTACTGATGAGAATGTTAATTAGAACACAGACTCAAAGGACTTTACTGAAGGTTACATGGGAAGTGGCAGACTCGGAGATTGAGACCCTGGAAGATCTGCAGTTGTGACCAACATGGCCCTTTGCTACCTTTTCTCTTTTAAAGCCAGAAGGACAGGATGGTGGTGGGGTGAGTAACGTGCCTCAGGTGACACTTGGCACCAGAAAGGGATGCAGCTGGGAGCTGATTGAAGGGCTTAGCCTCATTCCTCAGGTGTCATCTGTGTTCTGGACCGTGCTTCTCTGTCAGCCTTGATGCTAGGAGGTGGAGCAAGGACAAGAAGTGGGGCAACAGGTCACCTGGGGGGCAGTGGTGAGAGGCCTGGTCTGCTCCCTGGGGCTGAAGCCCAGGGTTTTATCGCATTCATAGTTTCCATCATTTTCCTAAGCTTCTCCATTTTTTTTAACTGTATCTACTCTAGCACACTAAACATGGCCTTCATTATGGTCACTATCTCTTTAGTCATCTGAGAAATCATCTCTAACTTGATTTTTCCTAGCGCCTCATTCATCTGCTTTGTTCCGTCCATCCACTGTTACCGCTTCAGAGAAGCTGGGTGGGTGGCTTTCAGATTATTACACCTCATCTCCTCCAGATCCTGGGTACCAGGACCCTGCTCCAGGACTGCTCACATGGGGTGCAGACAGGACATTTCTAGAGCAATCTCTGAGTGCAGGAAGCCCCCCCAAGATGATGCATAAGGTACTTAGCACAGTGTCACTAGGATGGGCAGCTCCAGCCTCAGCCTGTGGTGACATACATGGGTGTGCCCCCCACACACCCCCACTGGACAACAGCGAGTCTGAACTGCGTTAGTTGTTCTGAGTTCCTTAAGGAGAAAGTGGCTCATTTTTAAATCTATAAGACCAATTTAGCAAATTAATTTTTCCTTGTAGTAGATACTTAAAATGCATGACCTATTGTCGCTAGTGATTTTCCCCTTGTTTTTCAATTTCTTCTTTCAAAGCTAGAGAGGAAAAACCATTGGATTCCAAATGTATTTCCCTACTCCACCCCTTATGAAATTTCAAAATGAGCTTTCCATCTTGCTCATGGAAGAACCCCAAGTTTATATCAGTCTCTCCCCTGCAGCAACTGTTTTAAGTCATAGCGGGAAATTTTCAGGAATCAATTAAGTAGACTAATACTTTGCTGGAGGAGAAAAAATGTGCTGAGAGGGACCTAATTTACCATGCATCACAAAAGTTTCTAAGTAAATTATTTTCAAGTCAACTCGGCCCTTCTCTTAGCCCTGACAGGGGCCCATTTGGGTTGGATTTAAAAACTTCTAATCTATCACTGTCACCATTCCTGCTGTAATTTAAGGCTTCGGTGGTTTGTGGTAGATAACAGTTGTTACATTTCCTGCAGGCTGAGAAGGCGCTGACGATGTGGTGTATTAACAACCACAAAGCAGACAAAGGGAGAAGGAACATCTGTGGACATAAGGCTGTGTCAGACTAGCGTCCCTGCGGGAGAAACACTGGGGAAAGGAGAGAGACACTGGCTGCCTCCAGACGCTATGTCTTGGTTCTTCCCTCATGCACCTTTCTCCTGAGCAGTCGCACCAGTCCTGTGGAGCAGACAGATGTCCCTGGCAGCAAGCCTGCCCTCGGAGAGCTTGGGCAGGAGACGCAGTAAGGGCTTGCGTGCAGCACAGGTCACAGCAGGTTGCCTGGGTACTGAGGTAGCAGGGAGTGAGAGGAGTCCACACGGTCTGGAGGCACCGTGAGCCTGTTAGCGGGCGTCCTTCAGAGAACTGCAGTTCACTGCCTTGGTGCCGCATCTGAGGTCAGAACCTGGCTAGAGTTATGGGCTTGCTCTTGGGAACTGAGCATACTACGTGGGCAGCCTCACCAAACCTTGGAACTTTCATCTCTAAAATGGGGTGACATTGGCACCTTCCTTGTGGAATTATAGGGCCTTGCATGATGGTGCATTTCAGCAACCAGTCTAGCAACCATGAGGGTTAATCACTTGTCTTTTCTGTTCTATGATGGTCACGCTGAGGGCCCTGGGTGGTGGGGTCCCTGGAGGGCGGGTGTCTTTCATCTTCCAGGTTTCTATGACAGGATGCTATAGACCCAGTGGGTTGTAAACAGCAGATGTGTTTCCTACGGTTCTGAAGTTTGAAAATTCCAAGGTCAGGGTGCTATTGATTAGACGTGCAGTCTCTCAGGGTGAGACACAGTCCCGTGGATGGTACTGCTGGGAGGTACTGCAGCTCCTAGGGGGTGGGGCCTTGTGGGAGGTCACGGGTCACTGAGGACCTTGCTTAGGGGATCAGGGACTGCAGCCCCCTGCTTGCCCTCCTGCTGCCTACTGTTCATGGGGACCTTTCCTCTGCCACACATTCGCACCACACACACAAAGCATAGTGACCAGTTGATGACGAACTGGAACCACTAAACTATTGGGAATGGGGTGCTAGGTGTTAAATTCAAGGCCTTTGTATCCCCAGCCCTTTTAAAATTTTGTTTCTGAGACAGAATCTCACTACGTCACTAAGTTGCCCAGGCTGGGATCAAACTTGTGATCCTCCTGCCTCAGCCCCCTAGTCCTTTTAAAGTTGACCTTCTCAGGCATTTTGCGATAGAGATGGGAGTTAGCACACTTTTTATCTGGTGAGGGCCTTGTCCTTGCAGACAGTGCCTTTGGAGCTGCATCCTCAGGTGGCAGGAGGGAGGACACACTTCCTTGAGCCTCTCTGTGATAAGTCACTGACCTCTGATGGTGGAATTTTTGTGACCCAATCACCTCTTTCTGATGTCACCACTTTAGGGGTGGGCATTGCAGCATGTGAATTTGGGGAACCTAAGCACTGAGACCACAGCAACGAGTTACCCCTGCAGGGCTGAGGAAGACTCGTCATTGTTGCCCTCCCTCCTGACCTTGAACCCTTGGCACTGGCCAAGAGACACTGCTGGATGGGCTGACTGCAAAACCACCCCTACCATGAGGACAAGGCCCTCACTGGGGTGCTGAGGGTGTAGCCCTCATCTCTTCAGTGTAATGGAGGTGTCAGGAGCCCCCACAGCCTGCAGAAGGAAGGGGCTCTTCGCCTTGCACTCTGCAGAACTAGAGATCCAGCCCTGGCCCCGTGAGCTCTGGAACCCATCTGGAAGAAGCTTACTTGTTTGCAGCAAGCAATGCTTTTGCTGGCCAACCGACAGGCCTGCGGCCCTGTTCCCTGGATTCTGCTTCATGGCGCAGGAGGATACTTGGCTCTGAGAAGAACACATGCATGGGGGAGATGAGCCCTAGGTGGGGATTTAAGTGCCTGTGTGCCCAGCCCAGGCCCTTCCTTTCCAGCTCCCCCTCTTCCACTGCACGTACCTCCTCGTCTCCTTTGTGCTGAGGCCTGTGGGATCTGCTGCCCCAGGTGTAGCACCGATGTGCGCCGCGTGTTCTCTGCAACAGCGCCGCCATCGTAACAGGAGAGCTGCCACCAGGAATACACAAATGAGTGCGGTTTTGTCCA